TGCAGTGAAGTGAGGAAGCTGAGACCTCTTCAGATGGCCCTGGGCGCTCACGTTTTCAGAATCAGTTTTTTAAATTGTTCTTATTATATTTTTACTTTGTTTTGCCAGTTAAATCTTAATTACAAGTTAAAAAACACGACCACTCTCGAATTAAATATTTTCAAACATCGATATGTTGTTGTCGATGTCGCATTCCCAGATTGAGAAAGACCACGAAGGAAACCATAAAATGCAGTTTAGCAATTATTTCGCATATTCACGACCATTTCGCATTTTGTAGGTAATTTCACATTTTGCGATAGATTTATCATTTCATCGCAAATTGAATTCCTTTAGATATGTACTGCACAGATCGTCAAACATAGAATTACTATTTTTTTCATCATTTCATAACATTTCGCATTTTTAGCAAGAGCTAAAATCTATCATCTTGCTAACATAAGGATTGATGGACACTCATTACGGGCACTTGGCGCGAATGACCGCACAGATTATCTGGGGAGGCCGGTGAACTTCTCGCTGGTGGACTAGAGGGGGTTCTATGAACAAGGAAAGCATTGCCGGTAAGAGAGCTGAGTCGGGGCTTTCTGACTGGCAGAAGATGGACACCCTGACCCAGTTCGTCATGCCGGCGCTCTCCTTCCCATAATGGAGCGAGCGCACGTAAAGGGCATCATCATCATCATCATCATCATGGCAGCAGCACCAGCGGAACTGCATCCGCGCTTGGTTAGTGGTTAGTGGCTCTGTTCTGTTAGTGAATACGTGAATAAGTGAATTAGGCTAATGAATAAGTAAATGCACCATATGAAAATGAGTAAATTAGGCTAATAGCGAAATGAATACACAAGAGAAAATCAAGGGAAACGCGTGGCAATCAATAAACAATGAGTCAACATCATGACAAGAGAAATGATAAGTAGAGGAATATGTGTACAGTTAAAGTAAAATAATAGAATTTGTCAAAGAAAATTGTCAATAAAATTAGATAATACACTGGTAAAAAAAATTAAGTTCTACAGCTAAGCTCATAGACCTACACTATGAGATCAAAAAGTATACGGTCACGTTCGAAATGGTGTCATGATGTGGTCTTTTTTTCATGGAGGGAGCTGGCACCCCTTGTTGTTTTGTGTGGCACTATCACAAAACATGCATACCTTGATGTTTTAAACACCTTCTTGCTTCCCACTGTTGAAGAGCAATTCGGGGATGGCGATTGCATTTTTCAACACGATCGAGCACCTGTTCATATTGCACGACGGAGCGGTTACACGACAATAACATCCCTGTAATGAACTGGCCTGCACAGTCCTAACGTGAATCATATCGAATACCTTTGAGATGTTTTGGAACGCAGAGGTCGTGCCAGGCCTCACCGACCTACATCGATACCTCTCCTCAGTGCAGCACTCCGTGAATAATGAGCTGCCATACACCCCAAGACACCTTCCAGCACCTGATTGAAAGTGTGCTTTCGAGAGTGTATGCTGTCATCAAGGCTAAGGGTGGGCCAACACCCTATTGAATTCCAGTATTACCGATGGAGGGCGCCACAACCGGTTGCAGCCACGTGTCCGGTTACTTTTGATCACACAGTGTGCGTTACCACTCGGCTGCAAAAGGCACGCTACCCATGCTGGGAGCAGACACGCTCGCGCATTACAGCGATCCCGCGGATTCTCTCTCATTACAAAAGGGTCCTAATTTAAAACTAATGGTACTAAAAATAGTACATAATTTCTCGTATTATTTATAAATTTGCAATTTTTGAAAATTCAGATTTCAACCAAAATGACTCTTGCGCTTTTCTTTTAAGGTTCCTTTGTTCTATCCATGGACAAATTTTGAAGAAAAAATTTGGTGAGGTTTTTAAGGAAATGTTCAAAAAAAAATTCAAGCGCAAATTACGCAAATACTACTCGTTTCTTCACAATGCATAGAGTTGACATAAAATTGGTCTAGCACCTTATTTTTTACCGTGCCGTGATACAACGAAGTGAAAATTCAAAGAAACCATTTTTTGGTCACGCACATTTTTTGTATGCATTTATAAGGTGATATATTGATGACGCAAAAGATAAGCAGTTTTTTTGGCATGGTATTCATAACTTACCTGAAAGAAGTGCGTAGAAGCCGATGGCCAATATTTTGAATAAATAAAAAATAAATTCCCTTGAATATTATGCCTCTTTTCTTTACCACAAAAACCGGCAAAACTTATGTATAAACCTGGTACATGTTTTCAAGCGCCATTTACACAAGTATGTGATTTGAAAGCGAGAATGATAGAGCTCATAAGAAACAATAAAAAGATGACAAACTATATTTTGTCAATGACATTAGTTTTGAAACGATTCCCCTTATATATTTGATAAAATTCGCCTCTACATTTTCAATGTGAAATACCGCGATTTCAATTCTATGTTAATGGAGTTATTGCCCCCCCCCCCCCTGTCTCTCGCGCTCTCTGCGTATATATGTATGTACACATCCTAATCCTAAGTAGACACGCTGTTCGATTCCCACAATATGTCTAAAAGACTATAACACGTATCGGAGGAATCAAATTTGACCCCTTGATGGGGCAACTAGTAGCATCAGTAGCAAATAGCGCAAAATTTCACTCGGTGGCCCCTTCAGGGGCTCCCGACAATCGCTTCGCGAACAGGGCGGCGGTTTAAAATCCTATTACCGATAATAAAAAGAAATTGAAATGGAAAAAAATTAAATTTAATATTGAAGAAATTAAATTGTGTTCTACCATTCATTATAATGAATTATTAATTCGGGAGTGTGATTTCGTCCTGTCACATTTAATGGGTTACTCTTAGTTATACATAAAATTAGTTATACATAAAATTGGCATATATGTTAAAGTATGTGCATTCAGGAAGAGCCAAAAGGGCACACCCGAACTATTTAAATTCATAATGTCCAATGTTTCCGTTACAAAATAAACGAACTAAGATTATATGTTGAATTTCTATATTATTCTAAAAGATTATATGTTGAATTTCAGGAATAACTGCAAATCCTGAAATTGGCGGCGACCGGGAGAGGTGGCTCAGGGCATCAACTGATGTCACTTCAGTGCCTCTGACTGGAAGGTCCTAGGTTCGAGTCTCGACGCTGGCAGGATTTTCGACACTAGCTACTAGCACTAGGTCGAATCCAGTCGTTGTCTGGAGAAGAATTCTAGCGGCCGGCTGATTTGACCGAAATTTTCCGTGGTTTCTCCTATCAACACCAGGCGAATGTCGGAAAGATATCCTTACAAACGAGCCAGTAAGGACCGTGCGCGATCCCGGAATCATGAACCAATCAATGCATCTCTAAAACCTTCATGAAGGATTGCACCTTCCTTAAGAAGTTTTCTTAACTATTTGCATCTTTTCGACACACAAAATTAATTTGAAAATACATGTGTAATACGTAGTGGAATCAAAAGAAGTATAAATCTGTCCTGTTATTGAAAATTCATCAACCTCAACGGCCGCAGCAGAGAACACGGCACAACTTAAGGAAGTCGTTTAAACTGGTACTTCGCGCCCCTTTGGCGAGGGGAAAATGGTGTGGGGGGGGGTCGAGGGGGGAGTTAGGGGGTTTTGCAGGGAATCTTTTGATGGGCAGGAGTGATGAGCAATGTTCGTAACATGAGACATAATTATAGTAAGCAAGGCGTGTGAGGTTTCGCCAGTCTGCAGCGCGCGGCAGCCCCGCCGGCAAAACAACCCACGCTTTCGACGTGGCCGATCTAAAGAAATTATAAAAATTAAACTACTGGAATAATTTTCATACTTCGTGATTGGTTACTTTCTTTGCTACGTCATTCAACGTCCTTGCCGGAACGTCATTACTATTCTGTCCGTTGAAGCGAAAGTTCCATAGAAATTCTGCAGTTTTATTATGATTTTTTTGTGTCTCGGGGTAGCTGTCAAAGTGATTTGGTAAGTTTCAATGGAACAGGTACGTTTCTTGCGCTCTTTTGATTCTTTGTGATGTGTTTTGGGTCGTCGAATCTTTCAATTGTGAAAATAGGTGTGGCGGTGAATAAGGGAATTCAAACTATGGATTGCCACAAAGTTTACCTGTCATGTGTATACCAGTCATAGGTTGGCGAGTGAAAGTGTAGTAAGAAAGAGGCAATTCATAACGCGTAAGTTTTCTGTGCCAAAGAGACGTTGTTCATAAGAAGGAAAAACGAAAAAAAAAAAAAGTAAAAAAAGAAAAAAGATTGAAAGGTTCTTGCCTTTCCTTAGAAGCATCTCCAACATGAAAAATGAAAAAATCACCCATTGGTGAGTTATATTATTTTTATTACATTACAAGACTCCCCTATTTCCCTCATTCCCCACCCACGCTACCCCCCTCCACCCCCTATCTCACCACCTTCCTCCACTCGAATCACATGGGTGGACTGTGTTCTTGACTTCAACCTAGGTCAGTATACTATAACAATTAAACAAAGGTTTAAATAAAAATATATTTAAAAATACATTATATTTGCATTGCCTTATGTCACAAGCACATTGTAATATTTTTTTTCCAATTTAGAAGAAGAGAATTCTGAAAAACAAATCAACAAAAATTGATCAGCCACATGCTCTGTACAATCAAAATATTAACTTTGTAATTTAACGTGAAAAATTTAACATAATATTAAGGGAAAAAAATGAATTATTGTCAAATGTTTCGAGGTTTATTGTGGTTGAAAAATGAATGTTGCATGCAAAATAAATGGAAATCTATGAAAAAAGAATAGAACTCTGCAATTATTAGATCAAAATTTTAGAATTTGTTATACTTCTAATGATACAAAACTTTCTAAATGAAATGGGAAGCCTAAATAAAGCATAGAAAGTGTGTCACATTTTAAAAATTGTAAACATCCAATATTTCATCAATTAAAAAAATTATTCAAACAGAATACAATGTGACAATGTTTTTGTATTCTTCTGGAATAAAAAAAATTGAAAAGTGAAAGAATAATAACAACAATGGACAACAGGTACATTTGATAATCATGGATCCAATAGGGAAATGGAAATTTCATCTCAGTGAACTGAGATGATGATGATTTGCAAAGTAATTGGAAGTATGAGGAGGACAACGAGATTCATCTGCAGGTATTTCAGTATGTAATTTCCATTCAGAGGGAGCAGTGTCTGTAGCAGCTTGCAATCTTTGTTGATCTGGTAGTACATCGGGCTGTGTCAGCTGTTTAGAAAACCATGTATGGGCTTCAGACGTTTATGTCAAGCTCTTGTTTGGGCCTCAAGCAGATAAAAATATTTTATTGACTAAAAGGTCAAATGGCACAGTGTTTTTGGATATACTTCTGGTGTTATCTTTTTTCCAATATTGCCCTTATGACCCTTGACACATTATGAAGAGTTTCCCTTTTTATTTCTTACTTCATGGATTCTGAGAGGGACTTTTTCCCAAAAATTTCATTAAAATTAACTTGAATATAATTAGCAGCCGAATATTATTGAATAATCACTATAGCCATCTATTTCATATTTTTTCTGAGTTTTTATTGTTTTCGTAGAAAAGCAGATTGCGTACAAGTTTTAGTGAATATTTTGGTAATGTGCATGCCAAAGCATTGACACAATCTCATTGATGCAGCTGGTTGTGTGTTAACATTGTCTTTTCTTTTTTATTTGCTTTTGGTTTTTGTAAGGCAATAGAAGCTGATATTTACAAAAGCACACCTTTGTGCCTGGAATTAGTTTATAATTATGCCATAACCATCCTTTTTTAGTATTTGATTCACTCACCTGCTCTGCAACTGTAGCCAATCATTCCTTGTTAATTACTCTACTTATTTCTGCTTTGTACCTCTCCGACAATCATAAGATGAGGAGTCATGTTTAGAAGTGTGTTAAATTTACACTCTAAAGTTGAACCTTGAGCACGGAGAGGTGAGGTCATATTTACGAAAGACAAAATGCTCCATTCTTCATACCATTCTTCTCAAATTGTCCTACAACATAAAAACCAGATAACATATTTTGGTTAGCATGATTTAAGGTTGTCAAGTATTTCAAAATAATTTTGAGAAAACAGTTTATTTTTAAACGAGTAGCTTGAAGCAGCACAAATGATTCTGAACAGAACCACCCAGAAACTAGGGTTGCATTACATCCTGAATATTGACATGTGCTCCATTGCCCTGCCAGATTTTTCTGTTTCCATCAAATGTCCTGTATTTGTATACTTTTATAATTCCACGGAGTCCTACAAAAAAAACTATGTTTTGGCACTACTTGTGAAATACATCGCAGAACTATGTGCTACATAAGACAACACAAGTGGCTAATACTTTGGTTAAGAAAATATATTTGATATAAATGATATTTTTGTCTTTTTACAGTACAATTACAGTGCTGAAAAATAGATAAGGAAAGGTACACTGTGTTTTGAATCGAAGTGTGTCTGTTTCTCTCAAAAGTGTTAGTGCAAGAGAAAGGGAAAATGCTCTGTCTGGAAACCAAATGGGAAAGGGCTCACTTAATAACAGCATTTTAATATCTATCAAAATCATGCTTTTTTAAATATTTTATTTATATACCTTGAAATACTTTGCAAATTTTGTGATGGACAAGTAAGGAAATGACCTGAATAACCTTCAAAAGTCAGGGAAATGCATTCTAAGAAAAGAGTGGTCACCCTGATATTCTTGAAGTGTACAATGTAATTTATCTTGATTTATCTTGATTCATTTTCTAAAAATTAGCATTTACACTGCTCAAGAACAACAAATAAAATCCTCTTGTTCAATATTGCAACAAATTCATTATTTTAATAAAAACAGTCCTCATGAATACTGCAATAATGTAGTATAGTACACGTGAAAAGGCTACATCAGTTCTTTAAATACTAAGAGCATAAATAAATCTGCTGTTCCATAATGCAACTCAAAAATAAAAATTTATGTGTCCTCTTCCTTAATGTTGCATATGTCAGCTGTGATGTAAAAAGTGACGCACTGAGAATGAGGTCAGTCAGTATGGGCTAGGGGCAGATCCAGAGACAAATTTTGGGAGGGGACATTAAAAATGGTCTGGTCAAATGTCATATTACAGATTTTGTAAAATATTGTCAGTTACACTCGGGTTATGCTGCGAAACAATTTTATTTGTTTTAATGATTATCTGAAAATATTTCTCCTTGAATGATGTGTAGCAAGGTAAAATTAATAGTTACTGAAAAATTGTAGAGGGCAAATTTCCCATACTTTCCTCCCTGTGGATCTGCGCCTGGTATGGGAGGTATGAGAATAAATAGAATAATAGAATCAAACTTTTGGATTTTTAAGTCAGAATTGAAACTGTTTAATTGCTTTTCCATTTGCTTGAGTTCAGGGTATCTAATGAAATCTCAAATGGCCAGAGGAAGAACTGGCATAGTTTTCTTTCAATTTCTGCACACATTTGAAATTAGTAACCTAGATGAAGAATTTGTTCCTCTTCTAATTTTTAACTCAAATGATTCTGACAGTTTAACATGAAAACAAATGATTCATTTTCAATACTACAAATGGAATTCATTGAGGCACCCAGAGGCCTGGGGCAATAGATTCATAGGGGCCCCATACTTGAAACAAATATTCTCCCCTTCCCCAATACATTAACAGAGTTCATTTATCCATGCACCATAAACAACTTGTAGCAGTAAGTTTGAATTGCAAGTAAATATTTTGAGGCCCCAATTAAGTTGGTTGCTGAAAAATCTCCCTCCCCCCCCCTGCCCTGCCCAACCAAACTATGTTTCTGGGCATCCCTGAGAATACACATAATTACCTTTTCAAACCTATACATATCTTAATCAAAGAAATTACTCTTTCTGCGAGAGCTACAAGTGAGCTAGTGAGAGTTAATCATCCTGTGAGAGCCACAAAATGACAAAGTTCTATCTAATTCGTATAAAACTCAGCAGGAGAGAAATTGAAGGTGTGGAGGTGTCTAATAAAGATACGTAAACTGTAATTTTATTCATAGATTGTATACAAGCCTGATTTAAAATTAATTTATCTGAATTAAATATAATACATCATAGATCTGAGACTAGAGAGATTAAACTTGTCAAACATCTTTTTACCAAAATGATCAGATAGAACCTTGTCATTGTAAGGTCATGATATATCATTGAATTATACACAAAACATTTTTGACATCACCTCTTGACTTAAAGTAGGGATAGGTTCATGCAATTAAGTCTTGCATGATAAATAAAATTAATTCATAATTTTTGAAATTGCAGACATTTTAGATTCTTTCTGAGACCATCTTCAGGTCTGCAAAATGTAGATTTGAATTAGTTAATTTTTTCTACAATCTTGTAGTGCATTCATTTTTTTTTATAGTAACAATTTTATATATATTGCCAGTTGACTAATACATTCATTAAATTAATTTTCAGCTGAAGTTTCAGGTTACTATAGTGTTCTCACTCACTCTAAATCAAATCAAATAATGATTCAGTGTATACAAACATTAAAATAACACCCAAATACAAAATACAATTCACTGTACAAAAATATAAATCAAGCACTTTTAGAAAATAAAAGGCTTTCAACAAAAGATTAATGAACGAAGTGCTATTTATAAGAAAATAGATCTGGTAATCACAAAACAAACATGCAAGGCATGTAGAATTAGAAAAGCAACAGATTGAGTTTGCAAGAAAAAGCAAAGATATTCAAATGTTCATTTTGCATCTCTGAAAAGCCTCAATAAAAGCCCCTCCCCCTCTTAACATTTCAATTTTAAAAACAATGATATAATTTAATTTATTACCCAACAATTCCTACATCATTCTATTCTGACACAAAACATGTAATTCACATTTTTTAATTTCTATGAATATGGGAGAACATGTACAGTTATAGAGTTCCTTCTTTGTTTTTATTCTGCCTGATCATTTTTTGTGCTTTATTTAAGATATAGGATTATTAATCAGAAACCTGATCTGTTAATAATATCTACTTAAACAAGAGAATGAATGCCACATTAAAATATTGTAGTGATTGCGGAAATACTGATCAATTAACTTGCTGTATAATAATGCAGATTTTTTAAAAAGAATTTAATGACCTTTACATACAAATTTAGTCCACAAACACAATATTGTCATTATATATAGTAAATAAGTTTATATGGTATTCAACAGTAACTTTCAAATAAGGTTGTGAACTATAAGTGAATTTCAGAAATTAATAATTAATATTTTATACCCCTTCTCCCATTACTGATCATAAAACTTTCAACATAAGTGTATTGAAGACCTTTCTCTTGGATTGCTCACTGCAACTAAACTAATGAACTATCAAAATAAACTTAATTTGAAATCTTTATTCAGTCATGTAAAAAAAGTTGTAGGTATATAGTTCCCTCTGGATTTGTTAGTGATTTTTTTCTTTTTATAACATTATATATTTTTTTAACACAATCTTAAATATTTAAATTAAAGGAACTTTTGTTGTGCCTGGAAAGGAACATAATATTTACAATATTAATAATTAAAAATGTGTGATTATTACTTAGTTATAAAACGCGTTGTACTGTATGACAGTTAATTTCTCCATTGTCATTGACAAAATACCAATGCGAAGATCACACGCTTAGCTTGAAAATTATCGATGGTATATAGAAACATTCAAGTTCGCGAGCCAAAAGATACGGATCTTTACTGAACGACTGCGCTATATCTAGTGAACGATAGTTCACGGAAAAATCAATCTATTTGTATCGAATCTTTCGATCCTTTTCCAGCCAATGACAATGAAGAATGCAGGTGTTTACAATCGGAAATTCAAATGTTACAACTTTCCTGTGTGCACTGCTGCCACATTTCGGTAGTAATATCCAATGAATTGATCTTCGTTAGAATCGTGTTAACAATTACTTCCCCTAAAATGTTCAAGATATGTACATAACTTCATAAAGTTGAAATGCACTCTCTCTTCTCGAACCACCTCGAGATAAGTTCATCGGACTGTTGATCAAGGTCAGGCGTCATTCCACAGATTGTAGCCATGGCGGAAGGAGGTTGCGGCGAGTCGCAGAAACCGGCAACTGTCTTCGACTTTCTTTCGAAGATTGTTCGCCTTTTGCAAGATGAAGAGGCTCTTCAACCCCGCAGAAATGATCAGGTGGTACAATTCCAGCATCCCAGAGAGCTGCAGGTAATGTGTTTACAAAGTTAAAATTTAAATTGAAAGATACTCTATTTATTTTAAATGTAAATGAATAATTTAAAATATATTAAAACATCCAATATCGTATATTTTATTAAAATCGCAAATTCTCTAACATGCTTACGTGCCAAGTATTAAAAATAAAGATGTGAAAAAAAAAAACAATTTGACAACAAAATTTTTCGGCCTGAATTTGACAGTTCTCCGTTTCAGATTCTATTTAATTTATCACGTAGAATGAATTTCTTAGTATGAAAATTCTTTTCTACAAAAAACACATTAAATTTTTGCTATTAGTATATTTTATCTATATTGACATGTTCCCAAAATTACTGCAACATCTAAAATGTTGAATTCTTTTCCGATAATATATAACATTGTAAATATGTTGATCCTCCTTTAGTACAACTAATTAGGAGAGACATAATTATTATTTTCAAATGTTAACGTTAAGCAACTGGGACCGTCGGTAGCGCTAATGCCAAAAAGGACAACACGTTAATGGCTCGAGATATGCCGCCATCGTTAGGATAGGTCGGAATGCCTCTTGAACGCATTTAAAGCTTTTGTTCTTTCAAACGAGAATTCGAAAATATGCACTCTAAAGAAAAGTTACTTCAGAGACGTGTATGAGAGTAAACGGCTTTCTGCTAGGTAAAATTCAAGAATAAGTGCATAGCAACGGACTTTCTCCAAACGCGCTAAATTAAGAAATATGTTAAACCTTAATATTCCGGTGAAAATTGGTGCGAGGTTTAATTTTAAATGAGTTATGAGCATACTTATGCTGGTATAAATTTCTTGAAATTGATTTATGCAAAGAACCTACCAAGAATAGGGACAAATAGAATTAATATTCGGCATCAGGAACGTCAGTTGGACATCGAGAGATGACGATGAGTTTACTATTAATTCTACGATTAGTGATTATAAATCATGCATGTTCATTTGAAATTAGGAATTAAACTTTGTTTCATAATTATATGGCTGAAACTCCCGGTTTTGATATTGGCTTGCAATAACTCGCATTGCAGTTGAACCGTCTCTCAACTCTATACAATACCATGGCTTTCTTCAACATCATCTTTCTCATCGATTTTCTCTATTTTGCTACTAAAAGTTTTTCTATGTCAGAGGTCGATAGTGCTCTCAGTACCCTCTCCCCCCCCCACACACACACACAAAATCTACGCGTAAGATCATTGTTTTATCCCTTCTTCTTTCGCTTTACTTAAAGGCTTTCAAGTCTTAAACTACTCTTCTTTCCACTTCCAAGTCGTATTTGAGATGCCATAATTATATGCCAAAGTATTACATTATATCGTTAAGCTTAATTTCAGGACACTTGTACATTATATTTGTATTTAGCCATTATATGTCCCGTAATGGGCAATTGGTCTCGGTGCCGTTAAATTACGGAGTCCCTAGTCGGACACTCAACCAGGAACTTTGTTTTTTTTCGTTATTTAAGGTCGCATCAACTTCTAGGTCATTAACGGCCACCATTGCGAGTAACGGTATGGTAACTATGAGAATACACGATATGATGGGTGATATGATAGGGGGTGAAAGGACGAACACAATACAACCATGCCCGACGCGGGACTCGAACCCGCGATCCTTCGGTCCGAGATCGCTACGGCACTACTGACTTAGCGATCTCGGCCATCCGGACCGGCTCCGTAATGTCTTGAATTCGCTTAACCTTCGTGACTTCATATAGTAAATGAATTCGGCTAGCAACGCCGGTTTTGCGGTACAATCATCCCAGCATTTTCCTGGATGACCGAGGAGAAACTACAAAACCCCGGTCAGAATGGTCGATATGGGGATTGAACCCAGGCCTCCCGAAGTCAGTGCGCTAGGCCCCGAGCCACTTCGCTCGGTCGTGAATTAACCCTTATATAGTAATAATGTAACCTCCGTTCGTTTGTTCGTTACTCATGGTTAGACCCCTTCCTGTTCATCGATCGAGACAAATGTGTCTCTCGATCTCGAACTCCTGGCCTTCTTTTTCGGATCATATCAGAACATTCTAAAATAATTTAAAAGGTTTTTTTTTTGGGGGGGGGTTATCACCTAAAACGCGTTTTGGGTGTCTTCCCTACAGAGGAATTTTGTAGCTCTTTCGATTCCTCTCTGCAAGGTAAATCGAGGTTGGGACATTTTTGCTAGAATTTTCTAAACTATTCTGAAAATCTAGAAAAAACCTGTTTTTTATGTTTCAAGACATCTGCAGTAAATGAAACGCTGAGAATTACTAAACTGGCAGTGCGGCATAACCTGAAAAAACAGCGGCAAGAGTTGCGACCATATGTTTTTGTATTTTTTTTTATTTTTTATTTTATTTTTTAACTTTAATTCTTTATTGATAATTTTTCAAATACTACGCCCGAGAATAAGAGCCATACAAACGTGTGTTGAAAGTGTTTCTATAAGGATTGGCATAGAAGAAATTTTCAATTAATGAAAATACTTGTAAACCAGTTTAAGATGTCGGAGACGTTCCACGAAGCTAGTAGAAAGTAATGACTTTGGCGGTAGTAGTCTTCGTTGATGCTTTTGTCTAAGATATTTTGGACCCAAGAACTTGGTAAAACAATACTTATCCACTTTCTCGATATCAAGGCTCGGCAATAAAAAGGTTTGCGACGAAAATGCGCTGTTTTACGTTGCACGGTTACAATATTTTATATTCTCACGAAGTGCGAGAATATAAAAAGTAATCATCAAATGCATAATATGCTAGTATGCCGTGTACTTGTAAGCTAGGTGTTTCTTCTAAGAACTCATAGTGCTACAACAGCACGTACTTTCTAGCTTTATTTGTAACGCTTACATAATATTATAGTACTACTTGAACCCGAAAAAGTGTTTCCAACCAGCATTATGCTCCCCACGCTAGGGTTAGAACTCAAGTTTTGTCCGCCATTCACGTGACCTCAACACCACCAGACTCAAAGGTGCTACATTCCTGATGCTTTAAAAATAACACTGAACAATATTTCAAGATTTAAATTAATGATTAATATTTACAAAGACATTATTACAAAAGCATTATTACACTGTATTACAAAGACATGGCAAAATTTAATTTTGAAGAACATATTCGGATCATTCAAATGGTCCAGATTCAATAAAATAGGTCGCCTCACCATTTCAGAAAAATGCATACTCTGTGTTTAAATCCCTTTATTTTTTAGTTGTTCAATCCGTTTGTAAAAATATCATTGTACTTGGTTTACAAATGGCGGCCATTTTTGTTTTAAGCCGCAATGGTAAACTTTTTTTTGCGTTTGTAGACATTGCTCATATTGAAAAATTGCTCAGCGCTAGATTGTTGTGGTTTTTAAACTAAAATGCATTTGATGCAGTAAACTCTGGCCCACAAATCAATGTGATATTTATCTACCTAATATGTTTTTATTTTGGTAATATTTGCGACCAAATATATCGATCGCAAATGAACAAATTTCGATATTCAGATATTAATTTTTTAAAGGAATAGTCCCAGCTATAATTTTTTCTTTGCTTTTACACATATCAGTGTTGTTACTTTACGTAAAATAACAATGATAAGCATACAGCTTGAATATTACACCCTCTTAAAAATAGGAATTTTGGATTTTTTCCAAATGTTCAATTGCAATATCTCTATTGGGGACAAGACGAAATTTTTAGATTTGCGCACGTAAAAGATCGCTAAAGTACCAAACTGCAGCGTAAAACAAGAGATGGTGTCAACTGTATTTCTGCGTACTTCCTTTGACATATCGCATATTGTGGCATATTATCGCATATTATTTGGGGTTGAGGTGACTCAGGGCATCAACTCATGCCATTGCAGTTCTTCTAATGTGGAAGATCTCGGGTTTGTGACCCGCCGGTGGCAGAATTTTCCTGCTACATAGCTAGGTCGAATTCAGTCGCTGTCTGGAGGGCAATTATAGCGGCCGGCAATTGTGGCCGGTAGCTTTCTGTGGTTTCTCCTATACCAAGCGAATGCCCGAGCCGTACCCTTACAAACGGGCCACGGACGGTGTGCAATATTTACTTTCCCTTCCTATCCTTTCCTCACCCCTCCTACTTTCACACAAACTTGTGTGCATTACACTACCACATATGTCGGGAGACCAGTTGGGAGCTTAGAGCTTGTCCGGGCTGGAGTGGTGCTTTGCTGATGGGAGGTATCTTGATGGGGAAACCTCGCCGACCGAATGAAGGTCGGCACTGGATTTCGCCATCCAGTCAGGGACGAACACCGCTACTTCCTGATATATATAAAGCACTACACTCACGAAACTAATGACCATAGCAGATAACGCACCCGGAAATCGAAATAATAAATCAACTGTTACTAGTAAATACATAAAACACACTATAAGGACAATGACATTATAACTTAAATGATTCAGTTTATTATATGTTAATCCATTTACACGGTTGTCAGAAAGGTTGAGAAAGCTCTTCCCCAAATGCCGTATAACAAATTGTCAGATATAAAGGGAAAAATCAGAGATTGAACAGATTTGAAAAAATATCTTTATTACGTAAGGTAGATAATATTTAATTACGTACGGAAACCCTTTCAAAATTTTCGGGTTGAAGGCGCGGCCCTCCTGGCTCCCTCTGTGCGCTCGCCTATTGATAATTCAGGTAAGTAATATTTCTTCTCATTTTCAAATGGATTTTCGTGATTTCTAGCACCATAAATAAATTGATTTCAAGTGAATATTCTTCGATAGTCGGCAAAGTACTTGGAAGTATCACAGCCCCAACACAAGTTAAGTTCGTAAAATTATGGGTTTCCTTTGTAAATATATCAACCACACTCCACAATACAATTTGACAGAAACGTGGACGTCCCCGCCAAGGGGGACGCATCGCCCAATATTTGTTTTAGTCCTAATTGTCAAAATATGACACCAACCGCTTTGAACTAATAATTAAGTAAATTCAAATTGGTTGGGGAATTTGAGAATAATATT